CCCCAGGGACGCTGCACGCTGGCTGACCCTGCACTGTGACCCCCCAGGGACGCTGCACGCTGGCTGACCCTGCACTGTGACCCCCCAGGGACGCTGCACGCTGGCTGACCCTGCACTGTGACCCCTAAGCTTGCTGTCACCTGTGTCGGTGTGTCTCAAGGAGAACAAGATGGGGCTGAAAAGAGAATTTAATGAAGTATCACTATTGTACTCGAGTACAATTTAATCTCTATAACTATGTTAACTGAAATGTAATTCTTCAGAATTCACTATTTCCAAATCATAATCCTAACAGTAAGTGCAGCCATACTGCCCAGGCCACTCCAACACAGACAGACACACACAACCTGACCCATCCTTGTCTGGCGTTTCTCTCCATCCTCCCTCCACCTCCCTTGCACAGATGGTGGTGGGGGGGGGTGATGATGAGATGGTATGACTGGCCCTGATCCTGACCCTATGACCCTAGACAATGCAAACTGCACGACCATGAGGGGTGGAGGGGCAGCGTCGGCATGTACCTAGTTCACACATCGCTCCGGGAAAACGGCGTGCCAGGGGACATCTGTTCGGAGGGGGGAGAACGGGGAACCATCGGGGGGTGGGGGGGGGGGGGGGGGGGGGGGGGGGGGGGGGGGGGGGGGGGGGGGGGGGGGGGGGCAGAGGGACAGAGAGAGGAGGAAGAGGGAACAGGTAAAAAGGGACAGGGAAGGGATAAGAAGAGGAGGAGTGAGACAGAAGTTAATTCAGGCCCCTTAGACGGTTCGTCGCGCATCAGAGAAGGAGGACAGTGCCTCCAGGTCACCAGCGAGCACAGCCACCCATACTCTGCATTGTCCGTGCCACTCTACCGCTGCATGAGAGCAAGACGCCGTTTAATTACCGATTCAGAGCCAAAAGGAACAGGGGCGTCACAGCTGATCTCACAACAGGGGTGGCACTGGGCTCACAAAGCCACACTCTCACTGCTGTCTGTGTGTAAGCAGGCCCTTCCGGAGAGACACAGCCACCGGTAAGCAGAGCAAACGAGGGGCCGAGCCCCGTGGGAATGGAGCAGAAGCCTGGAAGCAGCCTGGGAGACAGGGGCCTGCCTCAGCAGCCTGGGAGACAGGGGCCTGCCTCAGCAGCCTGGGAGACAGGGGCCTGCCTCAGCAGCCTGGGAGACAGGGGCCTGCCTCAGCAGCCTGGGAGACAGGGGCCTGCCTCAGCAGCCTGG